GAAGTCTGACACACTCTGCGCCGCTGTCACCACCCTCCAGTGAGATATGGGCTCAGCTGAGTAATTTCAGTCTTCTTATCAGATGGAAAATATGGACAGCACTTAAAAGCTCTGAAGTGTATCACAGCCATAAATCTACCTCACAGATTCTCCCCTCTTCTTCTGCCTCCTCCACCTGCTTCTTCCGTTCTCCACCCTTCTCTCCTCCCATGTCTTCATCTTCGTCATCACCACTTTATTTCTGGCTCTTCTCTTCTCTCCTCTTCTCTCTGCCCTTTTAAGGTTAACTCTAGCAAACAGGACAGCGTCCCATTGATGGTCTCTGATTAAATGGATTACCGGCTAGCTCGCTCTCTGGCCACCCTGTGGTTTCTTATGAGACCCAGTGTGCTCATTACATTACAGAAGGAGACGGAGGGACATTTGTTACAGTTGCTACAGTACTGCAATGTAAATAGGCCTACTGCATTGTGCAGTTTTCTTTGTGCACTTTAAAACTTCTGCTGTTGAAAGGACTTTTTGCAGCCTAAAAGAAAGTTATTCAAGCATTTGATTGTTTATTTTCAGCATTAGGACAATTATACCAAGAGAAACATTACCAACGTAAATATTCTTTCCGTTCATGCTGGACCCAGATCTTTTGGTTTTCCTTGCTTTAGTTGTTCTCTTAAGGGTTTTAACAAAACCACACATTTATAAAAAATGTTCTATGTCCGATCTATTTTTAAAGGGGCAAAACATTCAAGTGTATTTTAAATTTTAACAAGTCCAGACTTTGTTCTTACAGTTTTGGAACTGTTAGATTAAACATTGCTGTTCATTCTCCAAGTTTATTTGGGTTTTAGAATTTAGAAAAAACAATTTCTTTACAAAAGAAAAGCCTGAGAGTTACAGAGGAAAACATTTTTATTTTTGCACAACTTTCCACGCTGCTTGGCAGGCAGGTTGCGCTGTACTTCCTCTGAGTGTTCTGTCACTAGATGTGATCACAGACAATTTCATGTTGTACAAATCAGAGCTCTGTGAGCAGCTCTGTCTGTAGCAGGATCTGTTCTCTTCTTGTGACTAAAGACGGATCTTGACTCTGGTGGGTTTTAGGTCAAAACTCAAAAGCTTCGGATGAAAGGGATGGATCAGGAGAAGGAAGGGAAATTCCTTACTTTGTTCTCCCTAAGCTGTGTGACAACATGCTGCGAGCACAGACATCAACCACTGCTTTACCCCTCGCCGCTTCAGGACCAGCAGCATGGCTGGCTGTCTGCCTCATAGAGAAACAACAAACTGTGGTGTGCCGACAACTTGTGTTAGTGCAAAACATGTGTTGTTAGAATTTTGGACTGTGCAAAGCTAAAGATGGAAGATTATTATCCTTGTTTAATGTCTATGACTGTAGTCCATTGCTCAAATGTGAAAGGTGGGTCATGAATGAGACAAACAATTTTACACATCAGTCAAGTTTCTAAACACTGAGCTGAAACTTTGTGTCACACGAGTTAGGAGTCCAACATGTTATTTGAGGGCCTCGTATTGTGTGACATCTTTGCCCAAAACCCCCACAAACCGTCAATCTGACAGCTCTATGACTCAGATGACTGACAGCATCACCGTTGCCAAGCAACCAACTTTCCAGCTTGCATGTACACTCTCTGGTCATGTTCCATGGAAAAAAGCAACTAAAACGACTTCTAGAAGAAAGGTCTCTGTGAAACAGGAGTTAGTAATGATGCTGCTTCAAACCGAGAGGGGAAGTTGATAAAAACTGTTCATCAGGAAGGCTGAGGTTCTGACAGCATAGCCTCTTGGTGGATATTATCATTTTTTTTTACTCTTTTAATGAAGCAACTTTTACATACGTGTTCTTTAGCTGCTTATCTCACATAGAAAATAATAAATCTGCATTAAGTTTTTGAGATATTTTATTTGTTAGGGTTAGGTGTCAGGATTAGGTATATTAGTATCGGTTTACATCGCTATCAGAAATTAAGAGCTAGACTACATCATATACTGGATATCGATAAAAAGGCCTATATCAAGTGCTGCTCTCTTTCTCAGCGTTTTTCTGTGTTTCATCCAGGAATCATGTGTGTGCCCGCCGTGAGATAATGTGCCCTTTCACATTAAGATAATGAGGAACTCTGGAATGTCCTTTTCTGCTAATGGAACTGCATTAGACTGGCTTTTTTTCCTTTGTATCTGCTTTGTCTGCATCATTTTCTTAAAATGCAGCCATTCCTGAATAAGCTGTCTGTGTTGTAAAACAGCCCACCTAATGAGATGAGATGATTGACTCCATTTATATCAAACAGAATGTGTTTGAAGCTGCGAGTAGTGACCAGCCTTTCAGAAAATAACAACCAGTCAGAAAAATTCCCTTTCTTTTATAATTTATTGAACCAAGGGAGGATAAAGCAAGTCTTGTATTTTAATCCTGTTTTCAGTTTAAAAATCTCTGAAAGGCTAAGTACATTTTTCACAATTTATTGAACTGTTGATGTCTTCATCATTCGACAGATAGTAAATGATCTTCAGAATAGTTTGAGCCTTTTTCAGCAAGCCTAATAATTAATAATTATATGTTCTAAAGCAAAATGGCTAAATGTTACAATTAAATCCCTTGGTTTAGGCGATGATAAAGCATGTGTTCGTTTAGGCTCCAGTGTTTGTTACGCCCCGTCTGCTGAGTGGCTGCATTAAGAGATTAATTACTTACTAATGAACTGCTGACTTAACTGTATTTAATATTGCCATAATAATTATCATGTCAGCTCTGAAGACTCCCAACTAATGTGAGTCTCGAAGTCATCCATGCAATGACAGCCTTAATGAAACCTTATTGGAAGTCTGAAGAGTTCTTGTTATTGTGAAAAAGAAAAAGCACGTGCAACAAAGACAAGACACAAAGGTATGTAGATGCTATTTAAACCGACTAAAACATACTTAAAATAAAGGTCACCTCTCCAGATATCTCTATGAATCCAGCAGGGAGCTAATTGGTCCTTGTCCAGTCAGAAAGAGAGTGTGGTTAACATCACTGACAACAAGTCAGACATGTTTTCATTAGGTGTTGGACTGCCAGGGTTGGACAGATTTTCTGGCTGAATGAGTGGTGCATCACATCTCTGATCTTTACTGATGATGTTTGCCTCGTTGAGCTGACCTGCAGTGGGTGGTGACTGAATTAGGTGTGTTGGAACAGAGAAACAAGTAAAACATAATTGGAGCCCTGTTTCTAAACCAGAAACAGGTGGATTGCCAACTCTGAAGCCTCATAAGTCATACCGAGTGCAGAACAAATTTAGTCTGGTTTCTGCAAAGCTTCCAGAAAGACTGCCTAATACCTAAACTAAAGCCAGCAAAATAATGCAGCATGAGTTTTAGTTTTAAATATACTGAATGCACCTCGCTGTTCCATGCATCACTTCCTGTCTGGGTCATGTTAATTATTTTACTTCATGACAATCTGCATATTGTACAGAAAGAAATAGACTCCAAGCTGAAACTTTGCAGAGCTCCTGATCCACAACGCACCGCACCACATTCAGTGTGAATGCTTTGATTGGATTCAATGGTTTTTGGTTTTGTGTAGAAGCTGTACAGATTCCAGACTGTATCTGATCCACATTTGGTGTGAATGAGGCTGAAGTTGAGATTAAATCAGTGATCTAGGTTGGGGAGTTCAAGGTTCTTGGGTCTTGTTGATTAATGAGGGTAGAATAAAGTTGGAGATTGATCACTATTCACTAATGCATCCTGGTGAAACGAGAGTCAAAGGGCAAGAGTGTTTATTTACCAATCGATCTTCAGTCCAACCTTCTATGTTCCACTATAAAAGAATGAATGGGTGGATGGACGGACGGATGGATTTGGGCTCTAATCGGTGGAAGCTGCAGTGTGATTATAACAAGGTTTAGAAGATGAGGAGTAAAACTTAAACGTGGAACAGCCTTTTGGTTCAAATCAATTATTAAAACATGATTAAATATGAAGAAGTCAAAATGAGCATTCAGCTGAAACATTCATTAAAGTTGAGCCCAAATCCAAACAACGAGTGAGCCCTACTGTTGTGAAACTCATGTAAAAATAACAATTCTAATGCCTACTGCTTGTGAGTGGCAGCATATTACTGTTTGGGAAAATGTGGAAAGGTCTGATGTAAGGGTTTCAGTGTGAACTCTGAACTAGAAAACATCAAACACCCAGTGAACAAAGATCTGTTTAAAGTAGGCTTTGGTTTTTTGTTCTTTATGATGAAAAAGTTGTTGTCATACCAACTTTCTTAAATGTTCAGAGGACTGAACACAGATCCATCTGCATACATTAAATACCAACGATCCTCCATTTTGTTAATGTTAAAAATGAACCTCAGACTCCCAAAGGAGGCCTTTCTGGGACATCCTATCAGTAGGAGGCCCCCAAGTCAACTCAAGACACCCTAGAGGGATCTCCTGGCTGTGAATTTTCTGTGTTTCCTTGTTAGGGGTGCTGCCCAGACCCAGAAAAAAGTATGAGGACAAGGAGTTAGGGAAAAGTGTGATGCTTCATTCCAATAGCAATGTGTCACAATAAAATACAGTTGTAGTACGATTCCAGCAAACAAAACCTGGTGGTCGCTGAAGCTACAGAACATCTACAGGTGGTTAAAGACACCTGGTGCCTGTTAAAACCTCCCAGTGGATCAGATGTCTGGCAGGTGCAAAGGCACAGCTGGATGCACCACAGTTATGTCCTGATTATAACAGGCTACTTGTGCTCAGTGTGTGCTGCCCTGCTCTTTGGCAAGAGATGTCACTGAAACTGAGATTTTAGTCATTTTCAAAGAAAGCAAATAGAGAAAATGATGGGTTGTTTTTGTTGTTGTTGTTTTTTTATCCCAGGATCTTCAAGAAAGATCAATAATATTCCATTAAAATAGGAACATTTGTTGTGGTTTTTCCCCTTTGTTTAGCTGAAACTTATCTTCCTCTGCGCACAAAGTGACAATCTTCCATCCTCTCTCTCAGGTAAATTCACCTGTATTGAGGCTCGTTTCCACCTGGAGCGTCAGATGGGTTACTACCTGATCCAGATGTACATCCCCTCCCTGCTCATTGTGATCCTGTCCTGGGTTTCCTTCTGGATCAACATGGATGCTGCGCCTGCCCGAGTCGGTCTGGGCATCACCACGGTGCTGACCATGACCACACAGAGCTCCGGTTCCAGAGCCTCACTACCCAAGGTGACAAAAATGCTATCATCCTGCGCTACCTGCTCTTAAACAGAAACTAACATTACAGGCTTCTGTGTTGCCCTTTAAGTTAAAAATGGAGTTTTATGCAAATTGATCAGAGAAAATATGAGAAGCTTAATGTTCAAAACAATGAAGGGAGGGAACCAATTAAACGGGAAATGGGGACGTTAAAAGGAGATGAAAACAAGTAGCAAGGACAGAAAAGATTTGATGAAAAGCAAAACAAAATCATAATTTAGGAGTTTAAAACAGCAACAGTTCACAAATAACTAGCAAAACAACCAAATATATATTTATAAAATATCAGACATTACACTCCAGATCATATTCTTTGCTATCCAGTCAACTCTTTCAGTCAGGCACACCTGAAGCATTTTAAAAATGTGTTTTAAACAATAACATAGAAACGTAGAATGAAGATAAATGAATGTCTCATTTTTTCATTTACATTCCATCTTGATTCTTGCAAGTTTGTCTAAAAAGAAACCGCTTCAAGGCATTTGGAATGATTTTTACATCGGTTTTAGCTTTGATTGCATCGAAACTCTTTTATCATGTGCACCTTTTTCCACCTTTCTGTCTGAATTAAACCGGACCGACTGCTGAACGGCTCTGGAGGAGAAGAGGTTTCACAGAGACGTTCAAAGATAAATGCTTTCATAGTAAAGCTGCACAGTCATCTTAGTGTGTTTGGAGAAAAGATCCAGAGTCATAGTTTAATTGGATTTTAAACGGCTGATTGTGGGGTTTCTCTGTGTGACGGAGAGAGGATCTCCCTTTCAAAGTGTGAGAGGTGTAACAGCACAACAGGGTGTAGCAATCAGACAGTGATCCGGGAGACTTTATTTAACCCTTTCACCTGAACAGTCCAAACACTTTTTCTGTGCAAAATCTCCTGCTCACAGGTGTGGGTACTGATTTTTTCCATGATTCTGTCGTCTTTATGGCTCTTAACAGTTTAAATCTATTTTGTTCCTCTGCAGCATGTAGTGTAGCTGGGCCTGGGTTTTGTTGCTGGTGAAGGTTCTGGGTCATCCAGGTAATAGTTATCCTGGTAGGTAAAGAAAATTAGGGAAAAGCAGATTATTTTCTTAAAGATTATTTTTTGTCAGATTTTAAAATAATTTTCTTGACCTATTGTGTGCTACAATGACCCTTTATAGCAATGGTACTCACTCCTGGTCCTGAAGAACTGGCATCCAGCATGTTTTACTTGTTTCTCTGTTCCAACACACCTAATTCAGTTTCTTCAGCTCGTCAGGCTCTAAGCCTGTTAATTTTCTGCTGATTGAAATCAGGTGTGTTGAAGCAGAGTTAAAAGTTAAAAGTTGACTATTTTGAAGACAAAAACTTTTTTTTCACATTTTCTTGTTAATTCACAGAAAAAAGATAGGAATTCAAATCTATGTGGTGTGTGCTTTAGGCACGACGGCGAGGGCAACGGTGGCACAGGAGATAAGTGCTCACACCGCAGTCAGAAGGTTGCAGGTTCAAGCCCCGCTGAGGCTGTCACTGTCATTGTGTCCTTGGTAAAGACAATTAACCCACCTTGCCTGCTGGTGGTGGTCAGAGGGACCGGTGGTGCCTGTGAACGGCAGACTCGCCTCTGTCAGTGCGCCTCAGGGCAGCTGTGGCTACATTGTAGCATATCATCACCAGGGTGGGAATGGGTGAATGACTGATTGTGTTGTAAAGCGCCTTGGGGTGTTCCATGACTCTAGAAGGCCCTATATCAAATACAGGCCATTTACCATCTTTAAGTTAAAGATTTTATTCTTACAGTTCACAGAATTAAAATTTGAAAAGACATTTGGAAGAGAGGAAACTCATACACAAATCAGAAACGCTGCCTTTTCTCATCACACCCAGAATAACAAAACAAATAAAGGAAATATTCTAAAAGTTTACCTACACCTATTGGGACGACTGTTATCACTGATTAATAAATCACATTAGATGTTTTAAAACTTCGTGTCAATGACCCGCAGGTGTCCTACGTGAAAGCCATTGATATCTGGATGGCCGTCTGTCTGCTCTTCGTTTTCTCGGCTCTGCTGGAATACGCCGCTGTCAACTTCATTGCCCGCCAACACAAGGAGCTGCTGCGCTTCAGACGGAGGCGACGACACATGAAGGTAAACGTTCAGCAGCGATTCACTTTCATTCGTTTGTCAGCTGTGTCAACAGAAACAAACGAGCTGAATTTGTTTCAGGAATCAGAGTTGATGGATTTCAGCAATGTTCTGAATAACAAATATTTAGGATGTGCTAAGTGGAAAACACGTTGTGCTTCTAACAATTAGTGATCATTACAGGTTTAAGATCCCCCACGCCCTTGTCATCTATCCAAAATCATGTGTTCCAGAACCATCTGGACCTCAGCTGTCTGGCACCTAAAGCACAATGACTTAGTTTAGTTTGTGATCTGGTTCTTGTTGTTTTACTCATTTAGATGAAAAAAAAAACATTTCCCCACCATCTTTTGGCCTTTTCTAAAATTCAGTTCCTGTTTGGTTTTGGCTTTGTGTGGGGCTCATCACCGCCTGGTAGAAACACGAGGCATCAATGTTTTAGACGGAGGGCTGATTGAAGGCTGAGCCACAGAGCAAACACAGAACAGCTCATTAAGGATTCTCAAAACAGAACACACACACACACACACACACACACACACACACACACACACACACACACACACACAAAGGAAAGCTTGCAACATCCATTAGAAACGGTGATGAAGGAGCTCTTGTTTTAATGAAGTTGTGGGTTTAATCACACCTTCTGTGTCTAACATCATAAAAATATATCATTAATATAACATCTTATTTTTCCTGCTATGGAAATATTATGTTTTAAACATACAGTTAATTTAACTAAAATGTGCTAGTGATGGTTCTCAGTCCTCCAGGTCATGGACTTCTTTGGTTTCTTGAAGACTTTTCGCTTCTCATCCGAGGAGATGTGTCAATTCTGAACTGACACATCTCCGTGGACAAGAAGCAAAACGTTTGAAATGTTTATTGCAATACTGAAATAAATATTAAGCATTTGAAAATATTTCCTTTCATTGTAGCTATTACCATTAAAGGGGCCCTTCATTCATATTTTAAATACATCTGCAGTGGTCTCTAGTAGGAATGAATGCCTCGTAAGTCAGTCTGGGGATAAAAAAAGCTCTGATGCGCTTGTTTCAGCTCAGAGAATTCAGCCAGAGGGAAAGGTGTCTACAATCACAGGTGTGATTATAGGTTCTAACACCGGTTATGCGATAAAGCTGTTGTTCCACAGACAGAATCACTTATTGAGTAAATTATTTTGTGGATGATGAAACTGCATGAATGCAGTATTGCGGTACCTCCTTTCTACCACTAGATGCTGTTCGTACACATGGTCAGAGCTGTTCTTATATTTAGGAACATTTCTACGCACAAGTACTAAATGATAAATCTCACACAATGTGTAAAATTGTTCCTACACACAACAAATGCACAGATCTGTGTGTAAGTACTACTGATAAATGAAGGCCCAGGTGTCTTCACATAGAGCAAATGTGTGCCACTGTGTTTTGAAGTCTGCCTCTTTTGTCTTTCAGGTGTTAGATAATTCAGAGCTTTACTCTGACAGCTTCTGTCCCTTGACCGATAGAGGTATCGCACACAGATTTAATGAGGGACAGGCAGACTGGTGAGCAGCTGCAGGTGAAAAGAGGAGCTCATAACAGATTCATGATGAAAGTGGCTAATTGTTTTTTTTCTGTGAGCGAATTTTGAGGCTCATGAACACAGATCATCCAAAAGAATTTATGCAATCATGTTAATGAAAGGCGAGTTTCATTCACAGAAAATGACTAAGCCAAGTTTAGACTTGCACTAATAAGTATTTAGAGAACCTTTATGGCATTTTATGTGTTCATATTGTAAAAATGTTCATAAAATATGCACATTGGGCTTTTTTCTCACTGTTTTTTTACATTTTATAGGTTAAATGTATGTTTTATATAATTATTATGAGATATCTGTTGCAATAATGAGATGAATGATTTTTTTTATCAGAGTGGTGTGAATTGGCCTCCATAGGATGCAATCACTTGTATTATTGGTGGTTTTGGTCTTACAAGAAGCCTTGAAAACACAAGAAATAAAGAAAAGAAACACAATGAGCAGATGAACTAACATGAGCCTAAATGTTAGTTGGTGCTTTCACATCTGGGTCGGCACGGACCTTCCTGGTCGGGTAAATTGTTTTAGTTCAAATTAGAGATCTGTGTTTATGTATCTGTACCCGAGAACTGCAACTAGCTGACTGAACGAGCGGGAGTTGAGCTGTAGTGTGAAGGGAAAACCCAAACGGAAGTACGAGTACTGGGAGTTTGTCGACATGCACTTTGATTTTAGGAACACACCAGCATGAGGTCCGAAAGGAAATGGGTCTGTAGTTTATTCCTAACTTAAGGGAAGTGAATTACTGGTCTGAAGCCAACTAGTTGGTGAAGCTGTGAATCTTTGACCTCTGGCATGGATTCAATCAATCAAAACTTTATTAATCCCAGAGGGAAATTAGAGATTTGAAGACTTGATGACTAAATGGCGTCTGTGGTAATCCACGTCCGTATATAGACGCAGGTGATGATGTGGAGGGAGGAAGGGGAGACTGTGGAATGATGGAAGTTGGGGTTCAGTGGGAGTTGGGAAGGCTGATAGATCTGTTGGTAGGATTTGTGACAATCATTGTTGGTGTTGGTAAATGTAGTGCTTTAAGAGTTTAATATATGACCTTTACTTATGACCATTAAGCTGTGATACTCTATATAAATATAGAATATCAACCTGCTTGGTCTTGTATGTTTAATCAGAAGATTCTAGGATTCTTTGTTTATTCAGGGATTGTAAACACTTCGTCTTGATTCAAGGAAAGAGTCATGTTTTTTAAAGTAAAATTTTATTTTCCAAACAATTAAAACATGACAAGTTAACTAATATTTACTGTGATGGATGGATCTAGGTGGGTGAGATGTGATGTATGGTGCCTATGTGTGAATATGATGTTATCAGAACTTTCGTATCTAGAAGAACTGAGTTCTGGGTGTAAAAGAATATGGATTGCGTTAAGCTATGGAGTTGATTCTTATCAAAAGGCATCACACGCTATCTGTGTGTCTACTTCACCCTTTCTTGGAGACCCTCTTCATGGATCCGAAGGTCAGAGAGGTCGGATGACCTCTGGCACCGAGGGCTGTAGAATACCCGTAGCACCGACTCTTCAGTCCAGAGATGTCCCGGGTCACAACAAAAGGATGGAACCCTTTGCGTCTCCGAGGACTCTTAAGGAGTTGGAACATTATCAGCTTAGTTCTGCAGGAACCGTTTGCTGTGTAGCAGTAGGCAGCTTTTAGCAGGGTTTTGGCAGCTGGCCAAAAATGCTCAGGGTTAAAGAGGTGTTACTCCGGACGGCCGTTCCGAAGCGCTCTCTAGAACTGAAATGCTGAATGATGGGAAGCTGGAATGCGACTCCTACTGCTGAATCACTGTAAGTGATTCTGTTTTAATATTCTCATATTATGATTTACCTGGCCAGTCAGAGCATGCCATGTTAAGGGATATTACCAAGACAACCTCAGAAAACACGTCTTCTTGAGATACCAGATGCTCTGATCTGGGGTAAAGAAATATCTATGTGTCATGAGTTTAACTTAACTTTAATTTGTCCTTGTCTCTGGGTGCAGGTGACGATTGCCTTGTCATATCAAACATTACTGATTACCATATATTTAAATCAATGTAATATTTCATTTCATTTCAACCAAGAAGCTAAGAATGGCACCAGGGACCGTGGGGTAGCCCACCCACATGGCTGACCAGCTTCAGTGCAAGGCTGTAGTCATGCTGGTCAAACACGGAGATCTTCAGCGCCTTGGGCTTCCTGACAGGGTTGCGGAAGGCGCTTTATAAATAAAGCGTTGATTGATTGATTGATTGATTAATATGGACTGGGACTGTTAAATTACAAGCAGGGCCAGAACGCTGCAATTGTGAGCCCTGGCCTTTTAGATTAGCTCATTCTCCATGGTTGGAGATCTGCAGGACATTAGCTACATGCTAACCCGAAGCTAAAAACGTTTTTCTGGGCAGTTTTAGCAAGAAAAACGTGGTAGAATGACTCCAACGTACAAGTACCTCTGGCCTGCTTAGTAGTAACAAAATTATAACTAGGTAAGCTGACCGAGGATATCAGGCTTTGTTGGTCCACCGCGGTCAAAAATCCATTAGTCCGCCGTTGTCAGTGCAGTGGGACTTGGCTCACGGTTTTGTGTTGCACTCCCAACCGGAGAAATGAGAATGGCAGACTCGCAGATCTTTCACCGCGGTGAACCAGCAAAGCCCGATCCTCGATCAGCTACCCAAGAGCCACCCCAACACGTTTTATTTCAACCAATTTCAAACCATCGTAGACCAAACAGTGTTATGGTAAACACATAGAATTTTCCCCCATTCAACCAGCAAACTATTAGCAGTTGAACAACTCAAAAATAAAGCAGCATCAACTAAAAAAGCTGCCGTGTTTCTGTGATCTCCCTCAGAAATCCACAAATGACCATGACTGCTGCATGGCATCAGAGCTAGTCTGCACGCCAGCCGCCTGCGGTTAAATGACACAGCATTTCCCCCCATTCAAAAAGCAAAATAAAGTACAGAAATATAAATTTTTATACTGATAAAAAGAAGAAGAAACTGCTTGGATGATCTGTTAGAGCAGTTAATAACCACAGCTTGCCTTCTTTTTCTGAGGCCTTTTACCGGAGCTAGTTCTGAAGTCACTTGGCTCTGAAGCTCATTAATTATTCAGAATTTTAAGCATTTAATACACTTAAACAGAAGAGTTACAACCCCCCCCCCCCCCCCCCCCCCCAAGAGTTGTCAGGGATGTAAACTATTAAACCTAAAATGTTTTTTGAACCAGGCTGTAAACATGTTTATTTCCGCTGTGAAATTGGCGTTTTCAACATGGGAGTCAATGAGGATTTGCTAACTTAAGGTGCCAGCCCCTAGCGGATGAGAGTGGAACTGCAATTTTAGCCACTTCTACTTGGCTTCAAAAAATGTAGACCATAATGGCCCCTTAGTGACAACTGATGTGT